ATTATACGTATTTATGATATAAAATAGTACAGAAAACACATGGTGAAAGATAACCAAACAGTATGTACACTTGTGAAAAATGAAATAACAATATTGTATTAATTCTAGAATATATTCAAGATACATTATGTATATTTTATGTATGTTTTCTGTATAGAACGTCATAAATGCATAATAAGTTCCTATTTGAGAACCTCTGGTGTAGGTTTCGTCCCTGGAGTCGAAGTCGTATTAGATCCCAGGAACCTGAAAATCTTCGACACGGAATATCGCGGACCGGTGGCCATCTGTATCGATCCCACAGGTCTTACAACGTTTGTATCCAGTCTTAGACAGTTGGAGGATAACGGGAGAAATGCAATATTCATTCTCAACGAACGGATAAACGAGTACAACCAATAATTTCGTTACGGCTTATCTCGTCTTAGGCTATCAGCGCTTCTGAAATGCAAATTCCGTCGCGATAAGCTCCCCGAATGGATATTCGCGGGGACGAGTAAGTAAATTAAGTATCATCGATCCAGCAGCGTTGGTACACGGTCTCGGAGCCTCCAAATAGGTTCCCGTAAATAATCAACTTACCCAGTATTTATCGGCGGATATATTTCCCTGTTGATCATCCGCTCGAGGAAATCGATTCTTCGACGAAATTACGAACGAAACACTCCCCGCGGGAGATTGTGACGAATTAAAGGAAAATCGAGTTGTTGGGGATATATTTATAATTGCGTTGCAATTTCAGCACGTATAGAAAATAACAATTAATAGATTGTGTGCTACGAGTCAGAATCAATGTTTAGGAACTCCAACACGAGTAGAAAAAATACTGTTGCTTTCATTTTTAATATCATTTAATTCGAAATAAATTAAATAAATCTCCATGGAGAATATGGAACATTTACGTCATCAATGAATGTCCTCGCTGCTCTTCAACATTTATCGAAAATAAAAGCAGAGAAAATTATTATTTAAAATTTAATTCGTTTTCAAGATATACTTGTGTTTTTTTTTTTAATATTAATGAACATACCACTGCATCGAATTGTTCTACGATGCCGTAACTGAGGATTCGTTTCGTTCGTTTCAGGACATCGATTACGAGGGATTTCGAAAATTTCTGGACACTTATCTCGAATGCGAAACCCCCGACGAACTTTCGCGGCGCCTTTTCCTTTCGTTCGTTAAGAAGGTGCCACGCGGAGTGGATGGGAAAGCTTTTAAGGTACGTCTCTAAAGTTTTTTTTCTTCTTACGAGTCTCGCACAAAATATCCACTGTCTTGGATGGGAGGTATACATGCACTGTTCTTAGATTAAACTCTTCATGATTTTCACATTTAGTAAAATTAATAGAGTACCTATCTATTCTCTCGTTTAATTGCATCCCGAAGTTTCAGATTGTTACTCCAGTGTTTTTCGAAAAATTAATATAACAAATTCTCATTTAACTCCTCCCATATAGCAAGACGTATATTAAGACACATAAATATAATGACGAAAGCACGTCGATGTAAAATATAGTTACCAACGAAAATAATAATTCCCGAATTAGGAAATGGCCGTGTTATCGTCTACAACCGCCTGTGCCGCTATCACGTCCCACACGACGTCCAGCAGCAACGTGAACAGCACCGGTTTGCCTGGTGGGACATCGACAGAAAGCCACGGTGGTTCCTCCTTGGCTGACAAAATTCACGGACTCACAGAGAAGTTGCAAGCTTTGGGACACCACAAAACGGAAAGCGATGCCTCCAGGGCTCGTACAGGTAATTAAATCATTTTCATTGACTCAAACGAAGCAAATGGACTCGATAGAATCGAGTTTCCAAAACTTTCAGTAGTACACAATACATAAAATCATATGGCCCCCTTTGAAAAACCCTTTAGCTTCGAAGGGCAATTCATTGCTCATTTTTATTTCAACTAATACGAAAGATAGGCGATATCGTATACATTAATTTATTCGTTCCACTTTAACCGATGAAACGTTAACGGAATAAATTTTCGTTTACAGTTACCCGATGATAAATTTAGATCTTTAATAAACGTATTTACAGCGTCAACAAAATCTACCTAAACGAGGATATTCGCGTTTTACGAATACGCGAATTTGCAGAGTTATTATGTATGCAATATCAACTTCCCATTGCTGGGCGAAAGCGGCTGGTTTATTTACCGGGGCCACGAAACGATTAAATGTTTCGAAGATCGTTTGCTGGTAATGTCCATTGGTTGATGATGTCCAGAGCTCGATGAAATATTACCTCGAATAGTAAATAGCCCGTTTGACTTTAAATCGTGAATGAAACTATAGAAATAAAATAATTTTATTTGATATTATTTTATTTCAACCGTATATCATGTTATTTAACTGTTATTCGAAATAATATTTGAAATATTCCCTTAAATTTTACCCAGCTCCGGTAGTGACGCATAAAGAACAATATCGAATGCTAAATTCGACGTTATTTAATTCTCCATAATCCCATGCCACACTGTCGCAGACCCACACACTGATTCATACTTTGAATGCATCTGGCATTTATCGAAATGATCAAAAAGGTGACAATATTAGGCGTAGAAATTAATTCTATGTCGCTGCATTCAATTATTTACATACTATGTAAATGTACTTGTATACGATTAAACATTTTTACCGAAATCGAAGATATAAATTGTCAAATATAAAGTCACGGATTTCATTTCTGCGCCTAATAAATATTGTTCGGGACGTGAACATTTATCCAGCCCCTGTATCTGGCATTGTCAGCTCGCGATCGCGAGCAACGGACGTGATTGGTGGTTTTCGGAAGCGTGGTACAGAAAAAAAAAAGAAACAAAAATTCCCCCCAGAAAAATAGAAAATCGATCCAATGAAGTGGGTCACCGCCAATGATTACTGGTTTCGTTTCGGGTGATTTTTATCTCTCCGCGAGTCGTTCGAGGTGTCAATTTTTGTCGCATCGGTTGCATCGGCCATCAAAGATCGCCATTGTTCTGCCACGCGGTAGATGGATGATAATCGAGGCTGTTGATCCGCGGGAAATAAAAAAAAAGAAAGAAAATGCGCGATTTCGCCGTGCATTGTGCGCCTGCTCGTTAAAATAAGTTCTCGACCGCTCGTGGCCCCCTTTCTTTGCGAAGCTCCGGATGTAAACAAAGGAAGCTGAAGTGGAGTACGAAAGGAGACAACAGTCACTGTTCCTCTTTACGCTGTGCCCTGAAAAATTAAAGATAGGAGGCTTCAAATTTGGCACAATGTCCCTTTGATGCCACTTCTTCGTTGCTGCTTCGTAACTCACTTTGTGTAACTGTTCCAAGCATGAGTGTATCTAGTTAGAGGTTGGATGCCAGCGTTCAAAAGAAAACAGAATAAATGTACGGACAAGGAATTTCTGGAATATTGGAAAACAGGGTCGTTCATGTCTCGATATATTAACACGTTGATCGCCAGAACGGGTGGCAGGACTTTTCAACAAGGAACTAAAGAAATTAATTTTAAATGTAGAACAAGGGGGAAAAACTCGTTACGTTCAATTTTTACCGAAATTGAAAAATGCATATCATCTATCGGAAAAAGAGGCAAGAATTGAATATTACATGAACTGTTTCTACCGAGACGTTCGTTTAATTTCCAAAACGTCTGATTTAACTCAATTTTGGCAATAAGGATTTAAATAAAAGAAATTCATCTCTACCGAGGGATTCCAATAGCATGGCACCCTAAATTGCTTATCTAGGCTTTGGAAAATCCTTAACACGTGATTCCAGCGAACCCTTCTCCAAACCTTTCCTTCCTGCTAACAAATGTACCCAATTTCGTGGAAATTCAAGACGCGAGCAGATCACCGCTATCGGTTTACCTTTGCTCACGTATCTGATTGATCGAGGCCCGCGGGGGGGAGGGAGGGGGGAGGGGGACAAAAGCGAGCAGAAACCTGATGAACCCCTCCCTGGAGCGTACATTAGACCCAGACGCTTTCTGGCCAGTAAGTCGAGAATCGAATCGCGATAAATCAGGAAGCCAACGTCGTCCAATTCGGTCATCCGATCGCACGGTTGGTAATATCCTCTTGTTTCGCTGGGGTTCAAGGAAGCGTCCATCCCATACTGATGATACAACACACTTCGTACAGCTGTCACGACGTCATCGAGAAGAAGAGCACCGACAGCAGCCCCAGTCACAGCCAAATGTCGCGGAATTCGTCCAGGAAGTCGAACAATTCCCTGCTCGTCAACAACGGGAAATTGGAAGGTAGGTCGGAGCACGACGTTAAATGGCGCGCGAAATAGATTTCAATTTTTGACGGAATTCTCGTGGAAACGGCCGACAATGTTTCTCTGATCGATCCTTTTGCCACGAAGTTGGATAAAAGTAGAGAGAATTCTAAATTTGGGTATCTAGAATTAAATAGAATTAATCCCAAGCGTAGAATATTTATGTATACTTTTATTTCAGTCCCCCTTCGTGGAAATTTTTACTGTTTTCGTTTTCAAATTTTATTTGTTCGTTTCTTTCGTGAGTTGCATTCATGTATTTTCTGTGGCAGTGTTTATATAAATAGACACTCTAATTTCTTAGACATTGATGCTGTAACAGTAATGAAGCGAAATGAATCGTACACAATTCAGTAATGTAACATAAAACATAAAATATTGTGTATATATTAGTTATTAATAAAACGAAAGAAACTTTCGGGACAACCTAGTACATGAAATAATTGTATACAATTTATAAACTGTATATGAAAAACTGTATACAAGAGTTTGTAGGTTTATTGTTAATATACTGGCACGAACTATAATGAACATTCGAAACACGGTAATTCGGTACTGAAATGGTCGGATGCTATCTACCACGAAGGGAAGGGACAATATTTACGAAAAGTGACATTCAATGCTTCGAGTGTATCAAAATATTCGCTTCGTCGACTGATGGACATTTCCAAGAAAATGTTTATTAGACATCGTTTGACCAGACTAAACCTTTCCCGTATTCATGGATCCAGATACGTCCAAATTGCCATTTATAAAACGACACCTTGATCTTCAAATGAAAATCGTGAAAATGTCACGACATTTGGTAAGGATTCGAGATAATTCGAGACGATTTATTTGTAGAGCTGTTTAGACTGGACCTCTGACTTTATCGTTGCCATGATTATACAATTTGCAGTCGCAATCGACGAAGTCGTACGTCAAAACGTTATCGATCCATTGCGTACGAAGATATTTCTAATACGTCTAAAGACTATGGTTAATATTAAAAGTGATCGGTTGAAATTTATCTTCATAACTAATTCGTGGTGGATAATCAAGATTTTCCAGTTACGAGTCGTTCGAGTAGGTGATACAGATACGGTTGCGATTTCATAAATTAATACGATTGTCGCAATTCGTTTCCTGTAAGAAATAAAAGAAAACTAATTCCCCCTCCACCTTTTCAAGCCGTGTAACATGAATTTCACACCATTTTTCACCATATAACGGGACATGAATTTCGGCTGTTTGAAAATAAAAAAACAAAAAAAAAAACATGTCAAATTGAGTAACCTTCTCCTTCTCGAAGTCGGTTAAAAAGATTTTCAATTCCAAAAAGCACCGTTTTTTATCGTGGAAAATAGCCACGGGATTCTTCGTTGTGTTATCCTGGATTCGCACGGCCGTCTTCGTTCGATTGTACCGCTTTCGCGATGAGTCTGCGTGTTGGACCGATCCCCGAAATAACGCGCGGAACCGGTATCATCCGGTATAAATAACGTCACGCTTAGCAAGCACATCGACGACCCCTCTGGCTCAAAGCTCCCGCGATACTCTCGCTCAGTATCTCTCGAATCACGCGAGAAGCAACAAGTGCCGACCCCGCGCTCCTGACCCGCGAAAATCGATCGCGAATGATCGACACCGGTCTCTCCGGCTCTACCGTTACTTCCGGGTGTTCGAACCACCGTCTCCTGGACGTGTTTCCCTCTTCGTCGTTTCCCCGATTCGCGGTCAAATGGTGCTGAAAAACGATCGACTTCGATTACCGAACGTTTCGGGGGTACTCCTGAAGGAAGGTGAGTGGAGAACGAACATTTTTTTGGACCTCTACGAATAGGATGAATCTCGTGTTTTTGGTGGATTGATTGAATATTGGCTTTCAATATTTTCTTTTTTTCATTTATTCGAGTTTCATTGAAAAATACATCTTTATAATTAGTTCGTGGCGGATCATTAAGATTTCACAATGAAGAATGACTCGAGTGTGTAATAGGGATTTAATATTTCAGAAATTAACATAATTCAGGCGATTTATTTAATGTAAAAATACAAAATTCATGAATAAAATTGATTGTAAGTAAGAGTATAGTTATATAATTATATAGAAGGAAACTGAGAGCTACTTTTCCATATCAAACTCAATGTGGTTCCCTTTCAAAGATTGCAACATATTTTTAATTATAATAACGAAGCATAGATATTTTGAAATGAATAAATTAAATCATTCTGATAATAAAGTGTAATACAAGCTTTTTAGCTACACGAGCCTTTTCTATAAAATGTGATAAAAACGAAGGGTTATACATTAAAATACATAGAACAAAATAATAAAACATAAGATCCATGTAAAACATCTTTTCATAATCTGGAACATCCCAGTTCACATTCAGTTAAACGTTTACACCAGGCCAATAAATTTTAACCAGACTAATAAATGCCATCGTACATTCCCGATAAATATCACAGCAATTATTCCAATTCGCGTAAACAGTGTAACTGTCTAATTGAATCGCATTTGTTGGAATCCAAATAAATTAAAACACATATGAAAATTTCTTTCGTATACAATGAAAAGAATTGGTTAAACGAGATATAAAATAAAAATTGCAGTTCGTAAATATTCTTTTATTAAAATAAGACGGGTTTTAACGGAGTGATCGGAGAGTATTGAGTTCGATCATTTGACCAAACATGTCTCTCTGCTGTTGATCAATTATCTAGGTGTTTTGACTTCGACGCTGGTTTTTGTAGACAAGTGACAGCAGCTGTTAATAACAGGTTGTGTGCCAAGCCGAGTTTGGCAGTCTCGTCCTCTTTGCCAAGGCTAAAGTTCAACTCTAATTTAAGAGATGACTTAAGTTATCCCGTGTCGTTGTAATAATGCATGAAACCTCCCCAATTTATTTATTATCGCAGTCATTTTTTCGCCTCCATAATTTTTACCTCCACTTGCATTCATACAATACTTACAGACAATTTTTATATGGAAGAAAGATATCTTTATTTTAAATTTCGAAGGCTGCTCCAAACTTTCAAGCGACAGTGTATTCGCGAGTACACGCAGAGACGAATTTTATAAATAGAAGTCTCGTTAACTAGAATTCTGTCTCTTCCGATAGCTCTACCGCGAAATGAAACGTCAGCGATTTTCACTTTGACGCCAAAACGCTTGCGTCGGATGCATTTACCGCGGTCGCTTTAACTTTACAGCTGAGAACAACCGATACCTGTCGTGGAGTACCGAGGTTGCGTTTCAGAGCAATCATGTCTACTTTCGTCGTATTCAAATAACAAAATTGATAATCCATTAAAAAAAAAAGTCCTACAGTCCTTAACCTATTACATGTTCCAAATTAAAATGCTTCGAGACTTTGAATTGTTGCTCCTAAAAAAAAAAGGATGTTTCCCCAATAGAAAGCATCTTTCCATTATCCATCATCGAGTTAATCCCGCGTCTGACAATTTCACCTAACCGATTCGCGTTTTCATTGGACGCGCGAACAAAAGCACGCGGCACAATGGGAAAGGAAGAAACGCTGTCCCATACGTTTCCCTGTCGCGTGAGCTTTGCGTTGGTTCCACGGAGTCGTTGGATATCACCGCAAAAATAAATCGCGACATCAAGGAATCACGGTCGCTGGCAAAATGGACCGCTGGAGAGTAATAGAATAGCCGGGTGAATTTGTTTTAACGTAGTTGCGCGTGCGGAAGATAAATCGTCCCCCTTCCACGATTGATCAGCCACCTTTATTTCCCTCGTGAATAGTCCCTGTATCTGTCTATCTTTTTTCCTTTCGTTCGGACACGAGTAGATCTCAGATGTAAAGTCCGTTGCTGGTTAGTTGGCGAGGATCCCTCAAACTAGAGGGGACTGAGGGGACAGGGGACTACGCTCGCTTGTTCCGCCTAAACATTAGCATTAAGGTCGATTCAGACTATACAACACGGGCCGGCAACGACACGTACATTACATTACATTACAACGACAAAACATTAAAACACGCGTTTTAATGGAACTATTAACACTTAAAGCCGGCGACTGACTTGCAACTGAACATTGTAATGTAACGCGAGCATTCGCTTAGTCTGGACGGACTCTTGCGCTCGGTTCGCGCTCGACCGTGCTCCACTGGTCTGTCGATTTTTTGACGAACCCCTTTGATCGTCTATTTTTCACTGAACTGAGTAAGAAGCATTGAGAGAGAATTCAGCCGCGAGTTCGAAGCGAGCATTCGTGATTCAAAAAAGGACCTTGCAATGTAACGTTGGTGTCGAACCGTACAATTCGTGCCGAGCAGTTACATTACAGCGTTCTGTTGCAAGTCAGTCACCGGCTTAACAGACACCGACCTGAACGTTCCGTCAACGGGAATAGTGTGAATAGTTCCATTAACTAGTCTTACCATTATAGTCTGAATCGACCTTTAGTAATATTATAGTCCAAGAGTAATTAGAAGAAAAAATCGAAGGTAACTTGCTTATCTGTAGAACTTCTTGGCTACAAAGCTTGTAGAAGAAATAATTTTAATTTTTAATTTAAGCACACGCCAAATCACTTCTATTATTCTCTTTAATATATCTCTATACAAGCTGTCAACAGACTCCGTTTTTCTTTTTTCAACTGTTCGGCTGTCGTTTGTTCCACAGGCCTGTGTCAAAAAACTCGCAGGGAATTCGATCCCTTTTGCACAGATCGTTAATAGATGGCAACTAATATTTGAATGCCCAAACTTGGCTCTTTCTTCACATTATCAAATACTGGATGTGGCATGGACCACATTCTATAAATATAATAACTTTAAGCCTGTATGATTATCGGAATGAGTATATATGTTCCAGCGTTGCAAACACAACTATATGCATGTTATTAACCAAATTAAAGTGTCCATACATCAGAACTCTAATCGAAGGCCCCGGCATATATTTGTTTATCAATGGCGCGAAGAGTACCTTCGGAAGCTGCGCTCATCCAGATCGCGATTTATTTTCGCAACCTAGGCGAAAGAAAGGCGAGAACGTGTACAGTGTAGAGTGTTTGTAAGGAAAGATGACTCAAAGGTATTACTGACAAAATACACCTCGCTACAGGTGGTTCATTCCTCGATACTACAAACTTCGGAGTGCAGTGACTGAAAATTTCAGTCTCGAGTGTTGAGCTCATGGGGGATGTTTATCCTGCGCATAGCTGTTACGAAGTTTGCATATCGCGATAGAACAACGATGGGAATTCGAAACGGACTTGGCTTGGTGGTTAACGATTATTGTGAGTTATCACGAGATGGAAGAGACATTTTTATTTACACGCTACGGATTTAAAAGCTCTTGGAACCACGGCTTCGAGGCTCCTGTGATTTTTTATTTCAATAGCAAAAATTTCAAACGAAATGGTATTTTAGCGCTTTGACTACCGAGCTATTTATTTATGAATTTAATTTCTGGATTAATTCCTGGAGGTTCTAACCTTCGGTCAATTAATATTTAAAAAAATAATACTTCATAGTTGAAATGAAATGAATTGAAAACATAGAATATTCAGCAGAGAAAGTATAAAGTAACACAATGAGTCTTGCCTGTCGATTAAACAACCGTAATATATCGATTAGTCTCTAAAAACAAATACAAAACATTTTCCACGTATTTTCACATTCTTCTGCATTGAATCCCGTTTCTTCGTTAATAGATAACTTTTTTCTTTCCCCTCAACTAACTCTCCCGTTGCTATATCTCACAGCCGAGCAATTATACTTCCGAATAATAAATAAAAATTCCAGATTCGACAATCGACTTCAATTTACAAATAAATTCAGCACCGAAGATAGTTTGTTTACAACGAATCCAAATCACTGTCGGCTCGAACCATTCAAACACTTCGAACCCATCGTGTCGTGTACCATTCGGTTGTACACGACTTCGTCTGACATGTCTTCCCTGCGCGTGAGACATCTGCTTACAAATAACGTTCTAAGAATACTCGTCATAGACCGTCTATCAAGTCGTCGCGCACGTGCAACGTTCGATCGTTATAATTAGAGTGGCGCTCGTACGCACGCATCGATACTTGGCTGGTGAATTCTTAAACCGGAGCAACAGGTTCCTCGCGGAGGCTCTTGAATACAACCTGACGGAAACCACTTCATTGTCGTCTAAAAATAATTCGCCCCGCGGACTTTCCAATGAAGTCGACGCTGGTGAAAGTGTTACGACTATTTTTGAGAAATTCGCCGAGGAGCGGGGGGACGGGGATGGGATGGGATTTAAACTGATTCGCGGAATGGCGCGATTATATTTTAACGCCAAAGAGTACAATCGGAAGCAACAAGTCCGTCTGACTTATTCGAAACTAAACTCCTATTCCGTCATATAAACTTCGAGCCACCTGGAAGCCGTGGTACGTTCGCGAGCGGAGCGTTAATTGGAGACAATTTGTTGCGAAAAACACTTTTTAATCTACCCGAGAATAAATAGAACTGAATGAATTGTTATTGTTTGAATTAATGTAAATAAACACGATTTGCAACGTCGACGACTTCTTTCTATGCATTATTCGTTATTTTCTTTGTGTATCATCTTTCGTTTATCTTTGGTTTATATTCTGCCTCGTTCCTCGGACTGTTCCACTCGTCGAAGGCTGCGTTACATTAAATAAATAAAATTGTTATCAAAGTAATAGGTAGGGACCGTCGTAGCGACACTTTTGAAGCAATCAGTGAAATCTACAAAATGAACATTTATTTCGCACGCGCTCTTGGCTATTCGGATACGCGAATTTTCCCAGGAGAAATTATTATTTACGAGTTGTTCCGAATTAAATATCGACAATCGCTGTTTGAGGATATTAAATATCGAGACATCGTTCCTCGGTATTTTTATTCCACGTGGAACGATTTCTATCTGCATGTCGGAGTAGCATGCACGGCACGTTTGTTTACTTGCGATTTTCCGATTTGCAGAGATGAGACATCTCGTCAGAAAGCAGAGTACGATAGACGTTCATTCGGTTAAAGTCAGCTTGAAGGATATCGTCTGTTATCTGTCTCTTCTGGAGGCTGGCAGACCGGAAGACAAATTGGAATGTAAGTAATCCTTCCCCTAAAAAATGGAGGCCAATTATGTCCCATACAAGTGGGTCTTAACCAGTTTTCCTAATTAGAGATACAAGTGTTTCTTAATTAGCAATGCTTTTCCAAACATTTTATTCATACATTTCGACCGTTAAGTTTCATGGAAATACTTCAAAGTGAACAAAGAAAAACTGTTGAACGAAATACACGTTCGCTTCATTTATAATCTATTATTTTAATAAAAGTTTACACATGGCCTCTGTACGCTACATTAACCACATGCTATTGTCTTGTGTAGCGTACCTCTCACATTTCCTGTGGCATTTAATTCTTTACATTCATTTAACATTCTTTTCCCAATTTTCATGGAACAATAGAGACACTTTTACTCAGCATCCAATCTTTACAAAACTATTAAATAAATATCTTATTAGATAGAATTCGTGATGGAATTTTTAGAATCCTATCCTGGAAACAAATCCACTTCCTCCAACGTTGCGAAGGTTAATCGATACCCACGATTCCAGAACCATTGAAGTTTCTAAAAGCTTATTTGCGGGTTCAACGTCAGAAATTTCAAGCACTTCTTTCCGTTAGCCACACTGGCATATACAGCGTTCGAGCTTGCAAATCTACTGCAACTTGTTGCATTCCAATTTCGACGTGCATTAATTCGTTTACCTTTATTTCTTCTTTTTTCTTTCAGTCATGTTCCGGCTGTACGACACAGATGGAAACGGCGTTCTTGATACCAACGTGAGTAAAACGACCAATTGCCTTTTGCATTTTTTCACGTGCTACCTATCTTCCCTTTAATCGTTCCAACGACCTCCTTTCCACGAGAAAACAACCACTTTATTCTAAAAAGTCTCTTGCTTTTCCAAAACGAAAAAAAAAAACTAACATTACCCTATTAAAATATTAAAAACTGAAAATACACTTCTGGATTGCATCAAAGCGAATAAAAATACATTCACCCGAATCCAATTGAACAACAAGAAATTTTTATGGCCCAAAGGCAACATTATAATTACACTTCGTAAAATGCAACAACTAATTCTCAACCAACTGCTGCTAAGCAAAGTTTTTAATGGTAATCAGAAAGTTGAGGGTAATACAGTCAAACCTAATTAGTCGACGAGAGTCTGCGAAACTTGAGGATCTCAATTTCCTCCGAACAAGCTACGTCCAATATCCGTCAGTACGTGCGCGATAAATATTCTTCTTTCGCTGTTTTACTAACGAACGTAATAGTTGACACATCCCTGAATAGAAACGACACCTCGTATCTGTAACGTGAAATAGATTTATTCTTCGTTATCTGCCTTCCATTTAATATCGTTATCGCGTGTCTTTAGGAAATGGACTGCATTGTCAATCAGATGATGAATGTCGCCGAGTATCTTGGATGGGACGTCTCGGAATTGAAACCGGTGAGTTGGTGTATCAATTGTTCGTTCTCGTCGATTACCACCCACGCACACGTCCCAACGACAACCATGGCATACATTCATAACAAAAGATACTTGTCTATTATAGAAATTCCTCAAAATTCTATCTTTCTAGTAAATAAAATTAAAGTTTATAGTAAACAAATGAATTCTCGAGTAAATAAATGGTAAATAAATTCTCGATGATAGAAATAGTCTACAACCCCCAAAATTCTATTCTTCTTTCCTGTACAAAATTTGTATTAAATGAACGAATGCTCGAGTAAATAAATGGTAAATAAATCCTCGATGATAGAAATAGTCTACAACCCCCAAAATTCTATTATTCTTTCCTATAAAAAATGTGTATTAAATGAACGAATTCTCGAGTAAATAAATCCTCAAGAGTTTGCGCAGGATGAATAGGAACGTTTCCGAAATGTTTCCGTTTCTCCTTTCTTGTTTGTCTAGCGAAGAGTTTGACGAGCAATATCTGGATATAAATCCTCCATATTTGTAGATACTGCAAGACATGATGGTAGAAATAGACTACGACGCTGATGGTACCGTGTCCCTGGACGAATGGAAAAGGGGTGGTTTGACGACGATCCCGTTGCTGGTGCTCCTAGGTTTGGATTCGCACGTGGAAGAGGACGGGATTCACCTCTGGAGGCTGAAGCACTTTAGCAAGCCCGCCTACTGCAATCTTTGTTTGAATATGCTGGTCGGTCTCGGCAAGAAAGGAATTTGTTGTGTCTGTAAGTACCGAGGCATTCTGACGTCGCACAGTCTCACGCCGCGAGTGTTTAGTCGGGAAATATTTTCATTGGATTAGTTTCGACCTTTTTGCTTTCTCATTAGTAGCCTGGAGGGAGAGAAGAGCTTTTAACTTTCGACGAACGAAAATCGAATAATTCTGACAGGCTCTAAAGGGATTTCTAAAGTAAGCTTTGGGATTTTATTTTTTAACCAAACAATGGCATAGAATATCATTTCTTTTAGCAATAGAGGCACATGGTGAAAAATGATATCACTTTGTAATTAGAAAACAGAATGTTGTAGACCCTTGTAACAAAGTAACACATTGCTTTGATTAAACTATTCTATCGTGATCTTTAAATGTGAACAAAAAGTATCATTTCTTGTTCCCCTACAATTTATATTCCAGTACGATAGTTCTAATTTAATCCTTAAATGCCCTAAGTTTCAAATTTGCTACCAAACTTTTAAATCTAATTGTACACTTGCAATTGGTGTATTTTTAATATTTGGCTGTATGTATATTTACCATTGCATAATGTTCTTTTGAACAAAATTTAAAAAAATAAACGTCAGCTGTCAAAATTGTTCAAATAATAGATGCATTGATATTTTTTTTAAATTTAATTTGTGAAAATCAGGCTTCTATGAGTTCAGATGGCAAATGAGTCTATAAGTATCATAGTTCTGACATTCGTAAGTCCGGTCGAGACAACGACAGCTCTCCAAAGTCCTACGGAAACCAACCAGCGCATATACCTTTGTTTGAGCGCAGTTTGCAAGTACACGGTCCATGAAAGATGCGTTCAGAGAGCGCCAGCCTCCTGCATAGCCACCTACGTAAAGAGCAAGAAAACGTCGCAAACAATGGCGCACCATTGGGTCGAGGGGAATTGCCACGGGAAATGTTCCAAATGTAGGAAGACGATCAAGAGTTACAACGGGATCACGGGCCTGCACTGCAGATGGTGTCAACTGACTGTGAGTAACTCTTCTTCGCATCCTCTTCTAACCAACCCGTAAAAGTTGATAATTCAAACAAAAATGATGAAATCGACAGGAGTCGCTTCTGAAAGTCGTTTCATTGATCTCCACGTTTTTACTCTTTTTTTGAATCTTGAATCTTATTCAGCTTCCCGGCGATGACAGAAGTGGAAAATTTAATCCCATTATTGAAATTTATGTAAAGTAACCCTGAAGAAATGAACGGTACCTACGGTTCGATGAATGAAAAAAGCAGTTACGACTTTATGGAGCCAGTCACCGTAGTCGCGTATTCATGCAACGGTAACTTTGCAGTTGCATAACAGATGCGTCTCGCAAGTCAGAGCGGAATGCACCCTCGGCGAGTATGCAGTTCATATCCTTCCACCTACGGCGATTTGTCCAGCCGTCCTGGACAGGCAGAGATCGTTGTCGCGGGACAGCAAAAGGGGAAGCAAGCACGGTCAGGATTCATCGTCCGTTAGCTCCGTAAGCTCGACGAAATAAATTATTTACCCTTCCATTTCTATTTCGGAGAAATTTTATTTGCCGCCTAAACATTACAAAAGATTGTTGTACCTGTTGGTCCCTATTCATCTTTCCACGTACATCCTACGCAAAAACTTAAACGTCAATGTAACAGCGTCAACGAGTCCTCGCAAATTTACTAAAATCAATCTGAATCTAATTTTAATTTGGAGAATTTTAATCTAAAAGAAATTTGGGTGATAACATTTTGTCCCCCAGGGTGGATTCTTAACATCTAGCAACGCCTCCAACCAGCAGCCAGCGATGTCCTTCCAAATCACACCACCTCCCGGCATAGTGCCGCTGTTAGTCTTCATAAACCCAAAATCAGGAGGCCGACAAGGCGAACGTATGCTTAGGAAGTTCCAGTACATCTTGAACCCGCGACAGGTCCACAACTTGGCCAGGGGTGGGCCCAGACAGGCTCTACAGATGTTCAAGGACGTGGAGAACTTCAAGGTGATCTGCTGCGGGGGCGATGGTACCGTTGGCTGGGTTCTGGAGACCATGGGTGCGATTCACAAATTAATGAGATTTATATGGAAATAAGTGAACGCTTGCATAAGCGTTCAGGCATGATAGTTCATACAGTAATGTGTCGTGAGACGCACAAATTTGTCCAGGATAAGTGCACAAAAACCAGTCCCACTACTGAAGGGTATACCACTTGAGAGGTCTCGGAGTTCGGTCGCAAAAGTTTGTCGTAAAAGTTTTACAACAACAACAACGAAGCTAATAACAAGAAGCTAATAACAAAAAAGTTTCATCCTTGCATTACAATGTTTCATCGACATATGTACCTCGGTGTTTTCGTTCCGTCCTCTTCTTTATTCGCTGTCCTTGTCTGTGTTCGACGAGCGTCGGCAAACATCAAAGAATATACGAAATCTACGATAAACGCACAAAGTCAGTCCCGAGCTCGTGCGTCTAACGAGACATTACTGTATCGTTTATACAGAGTGTTCAAAAAAGAGCATTCGATATTTATATGGTGTATAGGGTACACTGTACCGAGTAAAAAAGCTTTAGTAAACATAGGTCCAAAGGTCAACCGTTTCTGAGATATAAACATTTTTGTTTGCCTAGTATCATGATTGACTTACTTGCTTCCATCGCATGCGATGTTTATGTCGGTGTTTATAAATTGCGTTCTGAATGTTCCCATTCAAGTGCCGACAGTAGATTTCATTGGGGTTTAGTCAATTGTGGATCAGTTGCATGGTCTCCTCGATCCGCCGATTTAAATCCTCTGGACTTCTTTTTATGGGGATATTTAAAAAGCCAAGTGTATTCCACGCCGATAAATGACTTAGAAGAACTACGTAACCGAATCTACCATGCTTGTCAAATAATTCGACAGAAATGTGGGATTTTCGAGAGAGTTCGCGATTCTGTAAGAAGAAGATGCCAAGCGTGTACAGAAATGAGCGGTGGACACGTGGAAAATCTTCTATAAATATCGAAAACCCAGTAGTAAGTCAATCATGATACTAGCAAACAAAAATGTTTATATCTCAGAAACGGTTGACTTTTGGACCTATGTTTACTAAAGCTCTTTTTACTCGGTACAGTGTACCCTATACACCATATAAATATTGAATGTTTTTTTTTTGAACACCCTGTATAAAATGAAGACAACTGTTTCTAACAACTTGTCCTTGAACGTCAGATCGTGTCCAGTTCGAGCACCAACCCGCCGTGGGCGTCATACCTCTGGGAACAGGCAACGACCTCGCAAGATGTCTGCGATGGGGCGGTGGTTACGAGGGCGAAGCGATTCACAAAGTCCTCAAAGTACGTTCGTCTCTATTTAATCGTTTTTGTTCATGAACTCACGTTTCTATCCGCCGTCAGTCCTCATCTATCCCCGAGATAAGAGTCTGAGCAACGGAATAACTTACAGAAAATAGAGAAAGCGACGTCCGTGATGATGGACCGTTGGCAGATCGAAGTACTGGACCAGACGGACGAGAAGAAACCGAATCAGGATAGCATACCTTACAACATCATCAACAATTACTTCTCTGTGGGCGTCGACGCGGCGATATGCGTGAAATTCCACATGGAGAGGGAGAAGAATCCCGAAAAGTTCAACAGCAGGATGAAGAACAAGCTCTGGTACTTTGAATACGCGACTACGGAACAATTCGCTGCCAGCTGTAAGAATCTTCACGAGGATCTCGAGATCATTGTACGTATAGATCAGTTTTTGTGTGACCAGGTACGAAAGAAAGTGTGCATGATAACTTGATAGGTTACCCTGTAGTATTGTTATTGTTAGTCCTGGAGCTACTCTAATTAGTCAGTTAGGGTTCAAGTCTTTAAAAATAACTTCATTTTAACTAAACAGGTTTCACGACAGGATCATTTTAACTACAGGTTTTATACACAATATTCAGTAGAAATATAATAGAACAGAATCGAACAAAGTAATGAACTTTTAGATGAAAAGTATTCGAATCATATTGCTAAAAAGAAAAAGACAATCAAGTTATATTGTTCATCCCCTTGTATATTCATCGAATGATTACTACGTTCCGCGTTTCCAGTGCGACGGAACTCCGCTGGATTTGGCCCACGGTCCATCCCTTCAAGGAGTCGCGTTACTGAACATTCCTTTCACTCATGGAGGCTCGAATCTCTGGGGTGAACACCACTCGAGGCACCGCCTGGGCAAACGGAAAAAACGACCGGACAAAGAACTCAGCACCAGTAGCTTCAATTCGGTAGATCTCACAGCCGCGATACAAGGCATGTATCCAGTGGAATAAAAGTTTTGTTCAATCTCGACGAAGAGCAACGCTAATTGAAACGTTTACAGATATCGGTGACAATCTCATAGAGGTGATCGGTTTGGAGAACTGTCTGCACATGGGTCAAGTGAAAACAGGACTTCGTCATTCCGGTAGGAGGTTGGCTCAGTGCAGCAGCGTCACTATCACCACGAGCAAGCGATTTCCGATGCAAATCGACGGTGAACCGTGGATGCAAGGCCCTTGCACTGTAAGTCGACTATCTTTTTTTAAGATAGTTTTGAGGTAGTCACGTTTGAAAATAAAGTTGGAAAGGTTCGTACATGTATAGCCTCACTGCTCTCACACACGTCCATAATAAATCGATAAGTATATAGAGAGACAATTGTGACAACAACGCTGAATGTTATCGCGCAACTTCTCGTCCAATTTCAGATTTTAATTAATTGTTACTTTTTTTTTGTAACGGTTTATAATATCGGTTTTGATAACATATACAATTTTCAGCAAGTTTCTAAATGGCATTTTTACATAAATTGAAAAATCTCACGTAAAAATCTGTATGCTCCATAAGAAACTACATAAAACTAGGTCAATTAAAGAACAATCAAATGAAATCTTCTTCAAATCCTCCGTTAAATAAATTCACGAAACAGCTACCTTAACATTCACAGTGGGTGTAAAATGTATTCGTACACTGATGAATTTTCTAAAAAACTTTTGTGTGAAATTGTAGTTTCTTAACTTCTTTTTTTATAATCAATGATACTTTACACATTCTCGGAAGTCTCTAAGATAGATATAGTCCAAACAACATTTACTAGTTAATACAATTTGTGAAATTAACAAAAAAATGCGAAAAGCGGGTAAAAGTATTGAAGCAATAAGTATTTGTCAGATTATAACGACGAACCATTTTCAGTAGAGTTTGTAACGTAAACACATTAGTTTATTGTTCCGGTACGAATTAGAAAACATCAAATTCCCAGTAAAGTACTTTTAAACAGTTGTGCGAATACTTATTACTTCAATATTTCTATCGATTAATCGTTTCTTTTTTGTTAATTTCGTAACAAACATAAATAGCTATTTTTTTTTGTAATCTATCTATTCTACAGATTTCCGAGAATATGTAGAATGTCATTGTTTATAAAAAATAAGTTAATAAATTACAATTTTACATAGTTTTCTTTGGAAATTGATCGGTGTACGAATACTTTCTACACCCACTGTATGTGGTTTAGTTAGTGATCAAACTACCATGTTACAGCAGATGTATCTGGTAAAATTCATGTACCTGGATAATCGATCAACTTCAACAAGTTCTAAACGTATCGATATATTCTCATTTCAGATTCACATAACGCATAAAAACCAAGTCCCGATGCTGATGGCGCCTCCGCCAGAAAAGGGTCGAGGCTTCTTCCGTTTCCTGAGGAGGTGAACTCCGCCACCCGAAAAACACGTAGCTGAGAAATCGAAACGAGTGACTCGGTTGACTCGATTCGCCCTGTGGTAGTCTTGAACGTCGCCCTATCCCACCCCCTCCCACTCCCTGGTTTATCTTCTTTTGATTAAGTCGTGAACGAGAAGCGCATCGGTTCAATCGTACGTTACGTACTTCCAGTGCTTGAGCGCTCGTTCGAACGGCAATGAACGAGCTTCGACGTAACTTAGGTATTCTTGTGTACAGTATTTTTGAGAATAATAATAACGAAACAAAGCATCTGTCATCTTAGATTTAGAATCAGCGGTAGGCTCGTCGATCGTCGCGCTTTACGAAGCCGATTCATCTTGTGCGAGGTAAACTTATTGATGAAATATTGATTTTTCGCGTACGTGAGAAGCACTTATCTTCTATTTCGAACTTGAGCCCAGAGATGGACCAAATTCGATTCGAACTAAAAACTAAATTTTATATTCTATTCCGCTTCTATTTCTGAAAGCTTTGCTAAACATTTGAATAATTCTACAATTCAAATTGTAATTTGTATGGATCAAGCGTCTCTCTTATTTGTTGCTCGACGCTTTTATCACGAATTTCGCCCGTCTCTGCTCGAGTCTACCGCTTCACGCGTGCAGGTATGGTTGTTTTGGAACAAATGTAGCGAGGCACGACAGGAGTGCTTTTCTCTATTGAAAAGCTGTCGATGGATCCGAATTAAATCTCACTTTTATTTCTCGTCACCCGAACTTTGCTCTCCGAAGTTGTCCCACGCTCGCTATGTTTCTTCCGTCAAGTATGCAAGCCTGTACTATCGCAATCGGTCGTGTAGACACGACGGATTGTACGGTATCATGCAAAAGAGAATAATCTCATAGGTAACGTTACTGGCTGGCATAACGATGATTTCTTTAATCGTTGTTTTACCTTGTACAATGCGTAGAAATTAGGGGTGTGCGGGATCCCGGTCGGGACGGGAATTCCTCCCGGGATCGGGATGGAATCCCGAGAATTTCAAAATCCCGTATACATTCGAGATTCCCGGGAATTTCGAAATCCCGTACATTCGGATTGCTGAAATTTTCAAGAATAACAACACTTTCGGAAATCCCAGATATTATGCTATATCCCGTACATTCTCGGGAATCCCGTATATTTTCGGGAATCACGCACACCCCTAGTAGAAATATCTTATGGGTTTCATTTCTCCGAGATTTGATTACGCTGGGACGACTCGAGGATGAACAGATCATTTGATAATTCTATTCATAAAATAGATATCATTTCTTGCAGAGACCAAGTGTCTTCGTTGAGCGTTGAGCTTGTATAGTAGCTCTACGAGAAGATGCCCTGTGGCGATTCTTTCAAAATTGAGAACAGGGAGACCTTAGGATTAACCCCTTGAGCTACAACCACGTGCGAGACTCGTGGTCGGTTATTCGGGGTAAAACTGTAACGTCCCTTCTCCAGAGGCCATCTTCTTGGAGCAAGACAGTATCTAATATATTATCTATTTATTTTGTACTTAGTCATCCTACTTAGATGGCATGTGCACCCTCGACTCACGCCTTGGCGATGTTTACTTTCACACAAAAGAGTTTCTCGAACGGCGCGTGAAACAATTTTCCGAGCACTCCTCTTTTTTGCACGACTCCGTCCAACAATCAAAGATCTTATACTTTCCTCTCTTAACGTTAGGATTTTTGTACGAAAACTTAGTCGTAACCGCTTAGACGTAAATCGTGATCGATTAATTTATTTATTTATTTATTTGTCAGATCTATTTATTTATCCCGCGGCTGATACCAGCTGGAATACAATATAATATCGTGAGCATATCAGGAAAACAGCGCGCCCGTACCAAGTACCGTCGTATGATTCAGTTGTTCCGTGTTCGTCCTATGTATCTAATCGGGGATACACGTGTCCCGAGGTGGGCAGAATTCTTATCTACAAACAAACTTGGAATAACGAATGAAAGATGAACCGTTTATTCATCACTCGTTGAATAACGATTAAAAATTGTAAAATGAAATGGATAAAATGTATGTATTCGATAATTTAAGAATTGATTTCTGATCGAATAAGCATTATAAGTTGCTATCCGTTGATTTTACTCGGTATTTAGCATTTGAATTTTGCTCACCTCTCGATTTGGTGCAGCGTAGCCTGTTGATCAGTGCAACAAATGCACACAGTTGTGTTTAGACAGTTAAGTTTCCTCTCTTCTTGTCTCTTTTATCATTTACAATTGCCTTTTACACGTTGGCCACTCTTAACGACAACCGCGTATATTAACGATGTTCCCACTTTTGCGATCTACAGGGTATGAAACAAAGTATCTCGCGCCTTGATCCGAAAGTTCGACTCCGGATCTGGATCTAGCAGAGATAAACAGATAGTGAGATCCCTTAAAAATTTCTTTGCAGTAGTGAAATGATATTGATAGCATTTCAAATACAATTGTACAAACTTAAATTAAACGAAGAGGACGAGGAAGGAATTTAAGAGAATAAAATATTGAGTGTATATCAAAACGTATAGTAAGATACGAAAATTTACTTTCTTATTCGAATATACTTTCTTCTACTTCTGGAAGCTTTGTTAAAAATTCGAATAATTTTCTGCTCGGCAAGTTATTTGTTTTCAGCGAGTGGTTCCATCGGAACTCGTCGTTCTCTTATCGAATAGAGTACACAGAGATTAGAGACGAGCCATAAATTTCAAGAACGAGATGTTGGTTTATGCCTTGTACCGCGTCGAATGATTAAGATACAGAAGTGGATCACTTGATACTACGCGAACTGTATCGTTAGATCGTAGAGAGAACGTGTTACCGAGTTTAATCAAAACCGAATCAGCCAACGTGTTAGATATTAATCAGTATTGCAGTCTCTAGTTAACGAAGATTTTTCGTACGATTCTTCAACGACCGTATCAACAAGCATTTTCTCATTAATCGTTTTTAAGCGCTTCTCCGCAGTTTACAGTTTAATTATAGTCGTACACTCGTCCACGCGAGTGCTCCGAAATTACCATACTTTGACCTTCGTTCGCGTCTCGAATACCTGTTGTTTCATCCACGAGAAGTAAACGTACCAATCGCGTGCAACCGTGGAAAACATTTCCATAGCATTTTTTCAAATTTTCCGTCCGGGTACCTTCGCGAAAACCGAAGTGGCTAAGTTTTCTCATTAATTTGTGGATCTGCATTTCGCGTTCTTTTATGACAATGTGACTCTTAATATACATAGTTTAGACTATCCACATCCTAATGAGTTAATAGAGATCAGTCGCCATTCTCTATATTATTTAAAATATTACCGATCCAATGTCGATAGATCTTTGTAAGATTGCTAAAAAGGAATAACTGTTTCTTTCTAAAAATTCGCTTTAGCCGAAGGTATCAACAAACAAAAGGATAATTACTTTTATGCAGTATTATGTGTCACTAATGAACAGTAAGTTTGTTCGATTTTGACTAATTTTTATTATCGTTTCTGAGCACTCGTCAGGCACGCTTGTTTACGCGCTCTGAAGTGTCAATTTTAAGAGAGAACGTAACGAATCGTAATGTATTTTGACTAAATCGTCGTAGCAATATCGAATAGAGCGCTTCGATCGCATAACAAGGACGAGATGCTCGCGTAATAAACAATGAGGTCAATGTAAATCCACTCGTACCGATAAAGCATCTACTTCGCTCGCGTACCACGTTTACAGGTGTGGCTCATGCTTTTATATAAAACGAACAAAAATATGAGTATAATAAAAAGATACTCCGATCAACATCCCGCAGGGACCATCTCATCGTTGAGATCCATTTAACTGATACAGAATAATATCCTAAATTTTATCTTTCGACGACCACGTTAGCATTTCAGTGACGCTTCAATTCGGCGATACGCGTTTCCTTACTGTCTATCAGACTCTATATCGCCAAGGAATCGTAGAATTTTTTCCAGTATTCTTCTCGTTTCTCCCTTAAGTTGCACACTTTGTCCTCCATTCGCGATTAAACGCAATTTCGTGGAACGTTCGCGTAGAGCGTCGCTAGTCAATACTTTCAACCCTGTATTTCTATTTCTGTAGATAACAATTATCGGTTTTATAATTGTTATACGCGCATATCTTCTTCCATTAGCGATTATACGATCGAGTGTATACAGGATACGTCGCGACACTTTGGGGATCGATTTGGGGAGATTGAGAAGATCAAGGACAATCGAAGACGGGTTTTAGTTGAGTCGTAAGCTTTGATACGTTTTAAGAATTTAATTAGAATTTTTTAGAATAGTAATGGATCGTTTTCGTTTACGTATTCAATAGAAGAGTTCCTCGTTGGTAGAATTTTCTCCCCTGCCCTTCTTTTTGTTCTTACAAGAAATATTACGCGAGCAGAAATTCGCAAAACAACGCCTTCTTTGACGCCCTGTATATTCTTGTAAATGTATAAAAATCCACGGTCTACTTATGGCTCAACCTAATAGTATAAATACAGTGGGTGTAGAAAGTATTCGTGCACCGATCAATTTCCAAAGAAAACTATGTAAAATTGTAATTTATTAACTTATTTTTTATAAACAATGACATTCTACATATTCTCGGAAATCTGTAGAATAGATAAAAAAAAAAACGATTAATCGATAGAAATATTGAAGTAATAAGTATTCGCACAATTGTTTAATTTTTAAAACTTCATTTAAAAAAAAAAGAAATTTACATTAATTTACAAGTATATAATACTTCCTTCGTAGGATTTCCTTTTGATTTTATTATTCTTACAACTCTTCTAAGCGTTAAATTAACTAAATTATTACTTATTCGAGGTGGCATCTTCTTCAATTCCTCTATTAGAGCCATTTTTAAAAGTACTTTCCTGGAAAATTGATGTTTTCTAATTCGTACGGAGCAATAAACTAACGTGTTTACGTTACAAACTCTACTCTAAATGGTTCGTCATAAGAATCGTACAAATACTTATTGCTTCAATACTTTTACCCGCTTTTCGCATTTTTTTGTTAATTTCACAAATTGTATTAACTAGTAAATGTTGTTTGAACTATATCTATCTCAGAGACTTCCGAGAATATGTAAAATATCATTGATTATAAAAAAAGAAGTTAAGAAACTACAATTTCACACAAAAGTATCTTTGGAAATTGATCGATGTACATGATGATTCTACACCCACTGTATGTGCCCCGATAAGTCTTGTTCCTTGACATATCCTCGATTAATTACTAAAGTGTATTCCACGTGTTAGGATTCATCCTGTGTACCCTCGATCGTATCTCTTACATAGTTGCTCTCGTTCGACGAATCGAAATATTACGCTTACGTATAATGATACGACCATTAAGGTCATAATCGTTAAGTCGTTAATCATTAGCGAGAAAATTCGCGCGAGGAGTCCTGTCGTAGCTCCTCGTCGCGAATCTGTGAATACTATCGGCACAATAATTAAAATGATTGTTTTTCTATTGGATTGGCGCAGTGTCTCAGTGTGTGCTTGTTGTCGTGTAATGTTACGGTGTAGAGAAAAGACCCAAAAAAGAGGGAGAGAGAAACACAAGTGAACAAAATGTATTTCACTGGGACGAAAAAGAGATTATTTATGTTTTGTTTGAATTCTGAACCTTAACGCGAGGTATCGATGTCGATTCTTGTTAACTATATACACTGTGACCCATTTCAATCTACAAACGGATATATTCGAGAAAGGAAGTGAACGCGTGTACATATTAGTGATAAAAGAAGGTCGCGCCATTGGAATATCGAGGAGAAACGTGCTCGAAGCACGTTTATTGTTTTTTAATTAAATTTCGTGTATTTATTACGGTTTAGTAAATTCTAGAATTTTTTCGTAAAGCATTAAATAAAAAAGTGATTCGTAAAGCGTAGGGTAACCTTAACGAAACTTCGAGGACCCCTTCGAGCGATTCTCCTCGACATTTCGTTGCCCCCCTCTCATATCCATTTTTTTCAGTAGGTTTTATTCCACTAGTAGATTAAAATGAGACACGTTGTATATGAAGCTAACGTGCGTAGAGATTGACAATAGTGCTCGTCAATTATTCCCCCTTTTTTTTTCTTTTCTTTTAATTAGTCAAATAACGAGCAAGCGAGTCGACAGGTTCAACGAGCAACGTTGTTACTTTCGATGAAGAAATAAAAACGTCTTGGTAGTCAAAGTAACAGATGGGATAATTTTCAAGAGGTCTTGCTCGGGTAATAGATTTTAATATTGTTTCGTCGAGGAGCTTACGCAATTTGATGTATCCAACGAGCATGGGAATTCCAATTAATCAAGAATTGAACAATTTGTATGGTTAGTCCGACACACGTTCATAGAAAACGATTTCATTCGCCCCGATATAACGGAGTCTTAGTCGTTAAGCGCAATTTAAAAATCTATTCGGATTAGATGAATTTACTGCCACTTTTCTTGGGTCTACGTATGTTTGAGCACTACTGCCATTTTCCAAGAGATAGTCGCGTATGGGAAGGAAAGCCTGTCTATTCTAGTGTAATATACAAAATAAACTGTAAATTACGATACACAAACGGGTTGCTATTTTAACAGAAAATCCTCTAAATAATAGATCGTTTACTATCAACGTACAAATAACGAAAATTATGATGGTACGTTTCAATTATAATTTTATTGCCGTTTTAAGATGTTTTTTCTATCAATTTCTCGATTTATAATCCTCTCATAATTGCTTTTTATGTTTCGTTGTATACTTTCTTAATTCTGAGCTTTTAAAATTATACATTTACAATTCTAGTTTAAGTATAAATATTCGTTTTTAATACATATCGATAAGTTGATATAATAAAATCTTATTTCTATCTTAAAAAGCGCGCGTTAACGGGGGTTGAAATCGATCGCCTACCTCGCGGTGAATATACCGAACTAATTTGTGAAGTATGGTCAGCGCCTCTATCGGGAGAACGCTCAGTTTGTCGCCGATTAGTTTCCCTTGCAACGATAGGTGGCGCCATTTGTTTTTTTTTTTTAACTAAAAAATAAAGATTTAAAGGTTAAAACATGATTCTCATTTATATTTTAATATCACAATCTCTTTCCACTTGTTTATTATAGGATAAATAACCCTTTATTTTTTTTATTAAAACATACAAACGTTCCCATCTAAAGGTATTGATCGACTCCGAAAATAATACGGTCTATCACCACTAGATGGCAATATAAGTATTCGTAAAGCTTTTTTTTTATTATATCTAATAATAAATTAATGAACAAGCATGGTGAAATAAAAATACGAATGAGAATCATTTTCTACCACTTAGTTCTTCATTTTTTAATTAAAAAAGAAACAAATGGTACCATCTAGCGTTGCCAGTGAGAACTATTCGAGGACAAACTTGCGCATTATCCCGATAGAGGGGCTGACCAAAGTTTGCAAATTAGTTTGGTCTATTCACCGCGAGATGGCGATCGATTTCAACCCCCGTTAACGCGCGCTTTTTAATATAGAATTAAGATTTTATTACATCAGCTTATGATATGTATTAAAAACGACAGTTTTGTATAACAGACAGTTTTGTATAACGAGAATGCTAAGTATTGTGATTTAATGTGAGTATACCTTGTACTATAAACAATAAGTTTAAAGAGAAATATTATAAATAATAGAATATAAAATCGCATGGTATTGCTGCGCATATAAATAAAATAATATTCATCCCTATAAGTGTGTTTCTTTAAACAAAAACTAGATCATAAATTTAACGATATCTCGTTGAACACAAGTCGCTTGTTATTTGAAAGCAACGAATGAATAAATAGAAACGAAGCTATACAGAGAAAATGAAATCGATCACAAATAAAACTTCATTTCATAAATCTTTTCCAGCCATGAATTCCTACGTTATCTTTTCTATTTCTAATTATACCTAGGTTCTCTCGTTTCGAACAATATAAAATAATGGATACAGAAAGAAAGCACAGTAAGCAGACGTTACGTCGTTGATGAGCCCCGTGGATCCGGTCTGTTATCAATGGAATTTTAAAAGGCCGCCTCCTCGTCAACTCGGATTTATTCGAATTAAAACCCCGCAGGGCCGCACGCCGTCTGTCCATTCGATAAGATTCATCCTCGTGAACAGGAACGGCTACTAAAACGGGTGGAATTTTATTCGAACGATGGACGACGAATCGAAACTCTCCGCGACAATTTATTCGCAACGTTTATTTCGTTGGAATGTAGGTTTCAATCTGAGATTAGATTTTCAAAGTTCTTTAAATCGAATCGAATTTTTTTACGCGAAGAGTTCATTCGGCAGAGCTGGATGGCTAGAGTTGGATGACTAGAGAAGTATTTGGAGCATTCGATTGTAAAACGTTGGAAGCGTTATCAGTCGGCAAAGTTTCCCGGGGATACGCGTTCACCGTAGTCGACTTCCGACACTGAAATTGCATTATAGAGTGTTGGTTAAATATCCAAAGTCGAACACGCCCGTGCCATAGTCGATGGTTAATTTTGTGTAACGGTAGAACTATCAATTACTCGTCTAAAGAATTTTGTAAAGGAAGGCCTCTGGATTTTGTGTTGTGTCTCACTAAAAAAAAAAAAAGATTATCGTTGTTTTATCAAAAAAACAAAATCCTAATGTTTCATTTATCGTCTTTATCCATGATATTACAAACGAAAAATTACAAATAATGCGTGCATAAGAAGGTGAAACAGTGAAAGGGCGAGGTACAAGGATGAAGGATGATTCTTTTTTGACCGTCTAACCTGAACTTGCAGGAAAATGTTACTTTGAGAATTTCACGGAAACCTTGCAGGAGTCAGAGTTTACTCTATCGCAAAGGATCGTTCCTATAGTATTCTATAAACATTTACAATGTTCATTTTTCTCATTCATAATATTCAAATCTCACTCATAACTCGATCAATATCAGTCTCCAATATTCAACCTAATACAAAAGAAATTTCGAAAACAATGTATACCTTTTGCACGTTTCAACCAAATTCCCAATAAAATATGTTATGTGTAGATAAAGTAGACGTACATTTATAAAAAAAGAAAAAAACAATAGGAAGTGCACCTAATAATGAAAATATTGAGAGAACGAATACCTAAAAGGCCTCCTGAGAAAGTCGTTTAACACGTCGGTCACTATAATACGGGTAACAGAAATGTTCACTAAGGAATCAGAAAAAATCAGGTGCAACAGAGAATAAGTACGGATAGTACTCACGAATTTCAATGTAAAAATAAATACTGTCGCAGATGTCGATGATACAGTCTCCAATTATAGAAGAATAAAATGTTAGCTTCGAAAATGATTTCCACGAGCATGTTTGGCATTAAAATTGTTAAACGCACAGATTGCGTATTTTTGTATTTTCTGGATTGGATTGAGGGGAACGCGGGGCACCCTTTCAGGTGTATCCTTACCTGGTGGTTCGACGTCTACGGACTTTGCTTTATGCGGACACTTTATGCCCCCGATTGCGAACGACACCGGAACGCTCTCAAGTCCTCGGCACTGATCGGGATCCTTTTCCAATCGCAAAACAACGAGAGCGGTTTAATTTAAGGTTCCAAGAAGGGAACTGTGTTTCCTTCGTTGGGGTCTACAAGCTGGCGGCACGTTTTAATAATCGTGTTCTAGACGACGAGCATTCTCGTAAACCAGATCCGTTTTTATGCATGAATCTTATCGGCATACTGGCTCACGTGGACGTACCCCTTTCGCGCGTGGAATGTTCATCGGCGGATCGAAAATTTAAATTGAAACGCGCGCGATGCCATTGTCACTTGCAAAAATCTCTCGAGCGTGGAAATTTATTCTTCGCGCGCTCGTTCAAAAATGCTATTACATTCGATCGTTTGTAACTGGTAGTTTAACTTCTCGAGGAATCTTAAATGGATTTTTGCTCGGTCTTACTCGACGAGAGGCAAACGGAAGCAATTTTTGTCCGTGAATCGATTTTGATACGTAAATGGCGTGGCAATAAGTGGCGAATTGATTTTGTGGTGAATAATGCGTACCAATATATCAGATAAGAATTGCGTAAATATTTAAAGGAACGCTTATCTCAGCTTGCGTGTTTCTCGGAATTAAAGTGACCGATAATGTCTTGTATCAAATACCTTGTCACGATCTCTTTGTCTGACAAGGTATCTGATAGGAATATTAACAACAGTTTCTTAGTGTTATTTATACTTTAAGAGGAGATTTTATTTTTAGTTGGCCGTGTTGCCGAGAAAACGAATGTCTGGGTACGAACGACGTTGGGTACGTTGAGGATCTATGAGTTAGTTTCGATACTAACAATTCGTTCGAATAGATTGTTGACTTTCAAACAAACATTCTTGAACGTTCTTACAATTATCAGGACTCTGGACACGTTAAAACACCTCTCGGGTCTTATCGACCCCTTAAAACTTTTCTTGTGCTTCAAGTTAATCTAAATGAGTTCAAAAGAAAGGTGGAAGGAGTGCCTTCGATCTCCTCTGTGGGAGAACAATAATTCAACTCGTAATAATCTATGAAATCGTAAAATGAAATTGCAAAAATTGCAAAAAAAAAAGGTACTAGTTTAAACTAGACAAAAACGAGTTCCAGTTGCATAGAAACAAAGTGTACGTCTCGAATAAATTTTCACGTGTTAGTTTGGCAGTCAACGTGTTATGAAACCCAAATCCCCCAACCCTTTGTATTAAATTCGTAGCGACCGATCAATCGATTTGTTTGGAATGGTTGTAAGATGTACGAAATGTATTCCATGGATATCCATTGGCAGACATTGTTGGCCACACGTTCATACGTATGCTAGGGGTCAGGAGTCGAGGCTCGAAGCAAGATGGGGGTCGAAAACAATTTAATGGCTTGAAATGGCAGTCTTGGGAAAATTGGCACTGCAACGGAGACGGTGGAAACGACAAAGAGAGACAAACACAATGCCGAGAAATATCGGCGATCGGTGCGGTCCCATTTGGTCTTTAAACGTTCCATAAAAAGAACTGGACACGATTTACGTTTGATTATAGCCCGCCAAGGGTCAAAGGTCGGTACAAAATGACTATTGATACCGATGGGAGAGACCAACTGGAGATTATAGGTAACGACTAATAATAAGCCTCGATCACTGAAGGAATCGACTCGTTCTAAAGGACGCTGAAAGCTCGATAACGTTTCCTTCTCGTTTGGCCCGCATCAAATCTAATGATACGCCTGCGATAAGAGTTCTCCGACCGATTTCTATTCGCTTGTCTTTCCATTAGTTCGAATGGTAGAAAATAGCAATTGTTCTATTATCCAAAAATTCCACTATCCGACCACTTTTCTCTCCCTATTAGTTCGGATACGGGAGTCTCTACTGTATAGACGGTCTGTTTAAAAAGAAACCAAACATTTGCTATAAAAAGAAAAAAGTACAAGTAAAGTTTTTACACACACGTTTATTTACTCAAAATAATCTCCCTCTGCGTCAATACAGCATGCAGATCGCGTGATTAACATTTCGAAGGACCTTTGCAGCTCCTGTTTCGGTAGCTCGTTTAGTGCGGCGGTTACAGCGGCCTGAATCACCGAAATATTGCTATAATGTGTCCCTTTCATTGGAATTGGCATTGTTACCTTGGATCATTCACCCTAGTCGCCTGATCTCTCTCCCTGCGATTATTTTTTTTCCCCGAAATTGAAAATTCCAATGAAACGGGACACATCATAGCAACATTTCGGAGATTCAGGCCGCTGTAACCGCCGCACAGTGGTCCCAACGCGGAAAAAACTCAATTTTCGAAAGTCAAATTTTTGTTATAGAATATGTCCTGACTACTGTGAATAGTCTGTAGAATCACACTGTAAAATGGTTGTTTTAAATTTTAATTTTGAAAAAAGTTATAATTTATTAAAGTTGGAAATCAGTCGAAATGCTGAAATTTTGGTTACTTTGAAAAAAATTAAGATTTCACTTATGATTAGGTAAAACTGAATTGATCGGTCATTAATAATGTCTAGTAACAATCTGTGAACATGACTGTTTACTGTTTAAGCAAAAAAAAAAAAAAAAAAAATTATGAGTAAAGCGAATATGTAGGTTTTTCGAATGTTTTATGAAAATTATTGATTCAAAAAAAGCTCCGACAGCCTCTGGTTTGATTTCTCACGTTTTCTCATCTATATTACACCAAGAAAACATGATGAAAATTTCAGCTGCGTCTACTTGCTTTTTCGGGAGTTACATAATTTTATTCTCAAGTATGTATGAATACTCAAATCTTGAGAATCTACGAATTCCTTCTAAAATCCAT